TGGCAGTATATACTGTAGAGAAAGGGTGAGAGCGGGGATCCTTGAGGGAGCCCTTGTTCAGGGGAAAAAGAAAAAGAGAGTGTATTGTCAATTCGAACTTGTAGTTGTCTGTTTTCTAGTAGGTTCTTTATGGTGTGTAGTAGATATAGTGGTACCCCGATATTAGAGCGGCTTTTGATGTTTGATTCCTTACTTCCTCCTTTAGATTCCTGTTACTCGTGATGTTTGCTCCAAGATGTTTAAAGGTCATCACCTGTTCTACACTTTGATTGTAAACGGCGAGTTTGCATCTTCGGGGCTCTTTGGATATAGTGAGTGATTGTGTTTTCCGGGTAGATATTTCCATTTTATATTTTTTTGTAGTTTGTTCGAACTTATATAAGAGTCTTTGTAGGTTGGCTTCATCCTCGGAGCATCATCAGCGTAGCACATTATTTTTATTTGTGCATTTTCCATTCGATATCCTTATCTATATATAGTTATCACTTCAAAAACAATTAAAATAAAATATTAACTTTGCCACCCTGTACCTCAAACACGACGCCGTTTGTATGATATTTTTATATTAAATTTGGATTTTCTATCGACCGTTAAAGTTCTGCTGCTACAAACTGACCAACTCTGTATAATCAAGTAAACCCAAATTCCAAGCCGATGGAAGCATTAGCTTTTTTACAAGAACTGAAGACGACTTTCTTTGACTTCCAGATACTCCAGGGAGAATGAAAAACGGAACCGGAGACTTCTACGTAGATATGGATCACATCCAGGTGGGCTTTCGAGGCACTGCCAAAGGCGAACAAACCACTGCCGAGGCTGAAGTGCAAACTACTCACTTAGTGCCCTATCGGTAACCATAGACCCACCCTTAAGTCGAGGGATCCCTAAAACGATTCTTGTGCCTCCCAGGTTAAGGTTTTGGCCTCGAACCGATTGCAAATTCAAACTGGGTCCTTCCGAGAGCAGTTGCAGCTTGAAATGCAAATGTTGCTGCCAACTCCTCAGCCAGTGGATGCTGTCGCAAGTCGGCCTCACAATCGTAGTGATTATATGGGCCCTGCTTGGCGCCTACGCCTTCTATGTAACTGAAGGTGAGTTTCGGTGCGTCCGAATGGAAAGGGAGCATGAGTTCAATTGCCTCCCTTTGTGCTGGCGCACCCCTTTAGGGTATGTTTGTGTTTAGTCGGCATAAGCGACAAAAATCGATCAGGCGGGGTGATTTAGGCAAGTAAGTATCCAGGTCGATGAAAGGAAAAGCTCTGTCTTTGCGTGTTTCCACCACAGATTGACTTTGCCAAAGGGATTTTGCAAAAACTAGCTCAAAAGTTTTCCATTTACTTCCACATACACTTGGGGGGTTTGGCGTGAAGGCGTCACCCAAATCCTTTAAAGGGTCTTGCTGTAAACGGCAATCAATTATTTCAACTAATGCTCATTATTTATTACTGCCGCACTAATCTGGCACAATGTCAAAAAGAATCAGGAACAGGCACAAAATACCACGAGTTTATTAAATTCATTTAGAGCAAGGATGAGCAACACGCGGCCCGCAGGCCGCTTGCGGACCCTTGAACATGTTTATGCAGCCGCCAAGCATTTCTAAAATTTAATTTATTTCATCGACTTTCCTCCATTAATATATTATTATAAAATTAATTATAATACATGTGGCATTGTGGTGGTACATAAAATGTGGTGTTCAAACATGCCATACAAATGGGTCGATTCTGCTCGATTTCAAACATCAGCGCGCAGCGTCTGTGCTTGTTTGTGTTTGCTTCTGCCCCACAAACAGTCAGACTGATAAGATTTTAACTAGGAATTTTAGCACTTCTTGTGTTTCTTGTCCAAAAGGTAATATTAGGGTTTTTTATTCAAAATTAAGTTTTCGTACAAATGTTTTTAGCTCAAATTTTTAATCCATAATGGCATCTTGGAAAATCAAACAAAAAAGCGGAAGGTTGCGGATGAGCACAGGCATTTTCAAGAAAAGTGAAAATTTTATTACTTTCTTACTTTTGTCAAAAATAAAGCCGTATGCATAATATTTTCAGAGACTGTCGACACGAAAAGTTTATATCAAAAAAAAACATTACGATACAAAACATGAACGACAATATAAAATCTTTACAGGACTACTCTGGATGGATAAATTAAATCCAATAGGGAAAACCTGGGAAAACAAGAGAATATTTTTTAAAATCAAGCTATTTTTTCAAATACGGCAGTAAAGGCTCGTTTTGTTGCAATTCGAATACTGTACTTAATGTAATGCTAAGAAGAGTATACAACTAACAAAGCGAAATACAATTGTTCTTGGATATGATGGGATGAAGGAAAAACGGTTTCATTATTTTGGTAATAAAGAATGAGTGCGCGATTTTGGGTTTCTTATCGACATGACTCAGCATCTCAATGATGTTAATGTAGAACTTCAATGGCCACTTTCGTCATGGAAACTAAGAGTGACAAGATTTAAAAGAAGATGCTACAAAATAGCCATATGAAAACATTAAATTGACAATATTTCAAAAACTCTAAACACTTTTGGAATAGACATCGTTACACAGACTTACACTTATTTTTAATACTGAATATGACAAAATTATCAAAAATGGGGGTTTCCATATGAAAAAATTGATTTTGGCCGGTTTTCTCAACTGTGCTTTGAAACTTATTTTTTTAACACTTTGCATTAATAGTTTTCAAAATGTTTTCGAAATTCCATTAAAGTAAGTCCTTTTCAACAATAAATGCGACTCAAATTAAGTATGTCAAGTTCCCTTATAGGAAAAATGAATAATTATTCGAGTGGCTGCAACTGGCATTTTTTACATAAAATTTCAAATATCTCAAAAACGGTAAGACTGAGAGATCAAAGATTAGAAAGCTGCGTACGTGTGGCTACTTCATCAATCCCGGCTGATATTGATCAGCTTGTATCAAAAAAACAGTGCCAAATTCATTATTAAACATTTCAAGTAAATTCGTTTTTCTATTATTTTCTTGTGTTTTTATTTTGCATAAAAATTCGTATATGAAAACTTTTTTTAATATTAATTTTTTTTGGAGTGATGTTTATTACAAATAAAGTTTTGAAAATTATTAATACATGTTCCTTTAAGTGCGGCCCGCCAAAAAAAATATAATTTAAATTGGCCCGTTGACTAAAAAGGTTGCTAACCCCTGATTTAGAGAGTTATAAACCTGAATAATTACGTTTGTTAATTATACATTTTATTTTTAAAATACAAATCACTGTTAAATAAAAACGCGAAGCCGGTCCTGCTATGAATGTGCTAATGATAGTTTCAAATTTATCCCTAATCGATCGATTTTAATAATAAATAATATATAATATAATAATAATAATCGATGAAATGCCTCATTAGCTGATCTTGGCTGAATTAGACAGAAGTGTATTCAACCTATATTAACTGCCATCATATGTATATGCCATATTTCTGCTTTCACTACAGCAAATATCCAAAGCACACAAATAACACTTTAAAAAAATGTGGTGACCTTTTGTCACCATTTTTTTAGGTGTAAAAAGAAACCAAATGTTTCGCTAAAGTTTCTGGGTTTGCAAAGTGTTCCATTATCGAAAAAGTTTGGGAAACCCTACTCCACATAATCAGTAAGTAGCAGATAGGTAAATAGGATGCGAGTCACTCACAATCACAGAACATCCCCCCAGGGGAGATATTTTGTGCTCATAATCGTAAATCAGTTCAGGTAGTAAATGCCTGTAGGTACTGGGATATTTGGGAAAGACTAAAGAGCCCTACAAAAGACTTGTTATTAAGGGAAATATATAAAGACTTGTTATTAAGTTTTTATAAAAGGAAATGGATCTACAGTGAATCATAGCCGAGTCACTAGCCCTAAATTTCACGGTCAATAATGCTTAGGGGAACACAGAGACACATTTTGCTTAACTCTTTCACATCTCTACATTCTTAGCACATTTCCCCCATCAAAAACTTCTACCTTCCAGGGCCAAGAGAACAGAAACAGAGCGAAACTCTGGCTCAAATCCAAAGAGACTTATCAACCGCTCTGGCGGTCGATTTGAACAATTCGAAGCACTTGGACACATGGCCGACAATGATCCACAAGTACTTCGAGAAGCACGAGACTCTCTTTTTGGAAGCGGTAGGCGCTGGGTTTGGTGAAGGTGGTGGAGGCAACATCTGGACGTATCCCGGCTGCATCCTGTTCAGTGTGGCGCTACTGACTACATTAGGTAAGTCATCCGCTTATAGTTGCAGCGCAAACGGGTAGAAAATTGCCCTGCTCCATCGAGTAAAATTGCTCCTGTATAGTCTATATATGAGGTTGATGAGCAAATATTTTCGGAGAATGACAGAGAAACTGTTCCAGGTTTCGGCGCGCCAGTGCCACGCACTCCTCTGGGGCGGGGCGCCGCCGTTCTCTTTGCTCTAGTGGGGATTCCATTGCATTTCCTTCTAGTGCTGAACGTCGGCAATCTGACTGCCATCAAAATCCAGCAATTTGCATTTCGCTCTCGCCCCACCGACATCCCGGGTGTCTCCGAGCCGCCCAGATGGCTAAAATGGTTTCCCTTCATCGCCGCCCTTATTTACTACTTTTGCGGCGTGATAATGTTCGGGTTTGTGCGCGGCAGGGGGCCCCTGCATGCGTTCATGTTTCCTTTGGATTTTACAGCCAGTGGCGGGGTGGCTAGCGTGCCGGGGGTGGTTCGGATTTGTTATGCGCTCTACTTGGAGCTGGCGGTTACTTTGGCCACGTTGGCAGTCAGCCTCGTTCAGGTGTCCGCCAGCCACGGTATCGTCGAGCTGGGACTGAAATGGGGTTTGCTGACTAACACTTGAAACTTTCCTCCCAAGTGATTGGTTTCAGCTTCACGCAACGAAATTTAGCATAGGGTACTACCATCTCTGTGGTATATCGGTTTTGAGTTCAAAGATTAAGCAATGTTTACATATCCAGCGCTGGAAGCTGTTTTTTTTATACAAAGCTTGTTGAGTTGAGCGCAAAATTATAGCTGGGCTAACTCAGTCTGCTCGCGTCTGAAGCCTTTTTCTCGCAAAAAGGTTGCGGCATATTTTCGCTTTTAAATTACGTTCGCACTAAATCTTTTAAACGGTTTTTCTCCTACCCACCAAAATGTTACAGCAAATTATTAATAAAAAATTTTGCAGTCAGCGATCCTATGGCTTGTTTAAAAATGGTAGATAGTGTTGAAATTGAATGCTTTATTCGGACTTGCTTTTTCTTACAGATGTATGTTTTTATAACAAATCACGTTTCAATTGGTAGTATCTCCAACCGTTTTTAGTGTTCAGCTGAAAATAGTTGGGATATTACTAACAGAAATGTTGTGGTAAAAAATGTCCGTGATACAATGCAAGTGCAGATAAACCATCCAGGACTTTTATATTCCATGAGATAATGCGCCGTTTTTTTTTTCACCTCATTGCAGACCTTTACAACTGTTTGTCACCAGTATAATTTGGTAAAAATCACACAAACACAATATAAACTGAAGCATTCCCAGCTGGTTTATTAACTAAACAAAAAAATAACTAAAAAAGATCTATTCAAAGCAATATATGAATTTAATAAAATGTAACAACTGCAAGTATACACAATCCCGTTTATTCTTTGGAATAACTGAACCGATCGCAATTTTTTTCAAAACTTAAATTTTCTTTTGCACTTTTTCATGCTCTACATCGCTGTGCTCTTCGTCGGTGGCACTTTTCACGTTGTCCGGTTTATTTTTTACTTGTTTCTCCCTGTTATCATCATCAACTTTATTCAACTGAACCCCATCACTAGTTGTCCCACGCTTACCTTCCAGGGCTGATCTGATTGCCGCCAACAGAGCCTGATTTTTGCTCGAACTGATCGCTTTTTCACCTGAAAATGCGCATAATTTAACAGTCTTCCTAGTTATGTTTTTATTCACATAATAACAGCTGAATTAGTTGTCTACTCAACGGAAATTAATGACAATGTCGAACTAAGCATTAGCCGAAAAGGGCCTTTTTTATTTTCGTCAATATGCCTGGCTTATCGGCCTTAAGTTCTTCCCCTGCATATGGCATGTCCTCATCTGATCCGCCAGTCCCTGTCAATAAAAACATTGTTAATTCGCGTTTAATGAGACCAAGGACTGGCGGATCAAAACAATCTCCCGGCAATTAATTTCATAGATGCTTACCATCGGTGTTGTACGTAATTCCGAAAATCTGTCCAGGAGTGTCTTGTTCCAGTTCAGCGTAGGCTTGGGCTAGAGCCTTTTGCTTCTCGTCCAAGTGGCTCGGCACTTTGATCTTCAAAGTCACATAATGATCGCCGTTACCATAGCCATTCACTTTTTTCAAACCCTTGCCTGACAGCCTAATTCTCGTGTGTGAAGACGTACCAGGCCTGATCTTTATCAAATACATAAGCGAATTAAACAACAATCATGTGCAAGCGAAACCAATCATACTTGAAGCACATGATCTTCATAGAGTCCTTGTATTCTTATGCTGCCTCCTAGTAAGGACTGAGCTACTGAAATAGCCGCCTCTGTATGGACGTCAGCACCATCACGTTTGAAGTAATCGGACTTATCCACGCGAAATGTGACGAACAGTTCCTTGAGTCCCACCGACATGCGTACAGTTTGGCCATCCTCAATACCTACAAAACCCGTTATCTCTCTAATAATCAGATTTTACAACATTTATTACCTGCTGGAACTGGAATCGCGATGGTGCGTCTCTGAACTGTAGAGCCTTTGCCTTCACATTCGATACATTTATCCTTAATGTACATTCTCGTGCCCTGGCAATACCTGCAGGTCGATCGCATTATAAAGGGACCAGTCGTGATGTTTTCCATACCAGTACCTGAAATGACAAGGGTTTGGTTATATTTTCTAAGATTAATAGTGCGTTTGATACAACCATCTTTGTTGCTAAGAGAATGGTTTATCTTTTGTGCGGGACTTACCATTGCAATAGGCGCACTTCGTCGCTTTGGTGCCGAGTTCCGCTCGCGTTCCTTTACATTTTGGGCAAGTGTCGACCACATTAATGGTAACATCTTTGTTAGTGCCTCTCGCTGCTTGGCAGAAGGAAACGCGAAGAACCACCTGGAAAAGCAACGGATTAAGATGTATTTTTGCAGGCAGTTTACTTCCGTTCAGTTACTTCTTGAGACTCTCCAAAGCCGTACTGGCTTTCCGCAAAGTCCCCAAAGGGCGACTTGGAGAACCCTCCGTCTCCGAATATTTTCCTGAACAGTTCCTCCGGGTCAATTGTGGACTGATACTCCCAATGTTGGCTGCAAGAAAACAGCAATGTCAAGCTACATGCAATGGGCGCAAGTGAGAATATCTTACCTAAACCCTTGGGGCCCATGGGGTTTGCCCGTACTTCCCATGCCGCCCATTTGCTCCCCTGCAGTGCCCCATGTGTCGTATTGCTTTCGCTTCCCATCGTCTCCCAGAATCTGCTCAACAAATACAATTCCCAATTTTGCTCTGCCACTATTAGGCCTTGCGTCTTACCTCATAGGCCTCTGAAGCATCCTGGAACTTCCTCTGGGCCTCCGGGTCGTTTTTGTTGACGTCAGGATGGTACTGCTTGGCAAGTTTGTAGTAGGCCTTTTTTATTTCCGCAGGGGAGGCGTTGCGCCCCACTTCCAAGATCTCATAGTAGTTCTTTTTGGCAGCATTAAAGCTGCTTCTGTGGAAATCCCTTTTCAGGAAGTTCTGATTACCTAGTTAATAAGGCTGTTTTACTTTGGGGTGCTATTGAGGTTATGTGTGAACAGAAACCCGCAATGTCCGAAGTCCTGCTAAGGCCTACGCCTATGGACTTGAGACGGGCTTTAGAACAGTTACAGAGACACGTTCTGATGTAACTTACGGTTTTGCGATTGATTGGCCACATTGATGGTCAAAACATTGCTGCTCTTGCACTGCAAGCACCGATGAAGGAATCGCTGGTTTTTTGCAACCTGCGGGGCCACGTAGATGTGCAGGTGCCGACTGGTTAAGATGCCAAAAAGGCCGCGACAAGTTGCCATTCCGTTTTGGCCCCGTTTTGCACAGAAAAGCAGAAGAAAAGTATTAAAAATCAAAGGTTAACATTTTGCGAGGTCCAGCCTGTCAAACGGTACCTGTCAGCTGGTGGAATGGCAACCATAGATAAAGACGATGGCAACGAAAAGCTAAGAGGGGGCGCCGTATGTATCCAAGCTAGAAATATTTTTATTAGACCCGAAAGATGTGGACGGGTTTTTTTTGCAATGCAGTTATTTCATGTTATCAGCGTTGTCTTGCATGCGTTAAACAAAGATGCGCACAAGAATAGGATCTGTTGATTAATTAATAATTAAATAAAATTAAGGTTTCTTATTTAAGTGTCGGTTGCGATCTTGAATTTTTAGGAGCTTAAGTAAAAAAGGAAGATGTATCCAAATTTTTCAAAACAATTACCAGTTAAAGTTCTCAATGTTTTGCTATACCTACAGCTATACCTAACCACAGATTACAGAGTATAACCTCAGTGATCTGTGTACCTAACCTCGTTTTATGTTTATGTGGCAAAGTGGTACTCTGCTGGAATATAAAGATTGTATTTAAGTCCCTATTCTTTCATGTTTGGGCCTATGATCTGAATTTCTGGTGGTTCCATTGTGTACAGTGCCCATAGCAATGACAGAAGAAAGGGTCAAATTGCTAAAGCTGCTTTATTCTGCAGACTATCCTGGTAAGGTTCTGAACACTCACCTATTATGAAAAGTCACTGAGAAACTTGCAGCCGAGTGGGAATTCGATGAGAATGTTAAGGAATACCTCACAAAGTTGGCAGCATACAAGGTGGAGGATTTAATTAAAGAGCCTAGACGTCTGGAAGTAGAATTTGCGAATATTCAAGACCAAACCCAAGATCTGGCTGTTACCAATTACAAAACGTTCATTGAGACTGCAGAGTGTTCCAGGCAACTGTTTAGTCAGTTTAGCAGCATCGAACACAAGCTGGATGAGCTACTGTTGGATATTCCCAAGTTTCAAACTAGCTGCACAAGTTTTTGCGATTCAACAAGCCAAATTAGTAATTTGCGAAAGCTCAACTCATTGACGTTGACTAAAAACGCTCAGCTTTTGGAAATCCTGGAACTGCCCCAGCTGATGAACTCATTCATCAATGATGGGCTGTATGAGGACGCTTTGGAGTTGGCCGCCTATGTCCGGAAGCTTTGCTCGAAACACTCAGATATACCGATTTTTGCAGTAAGTGAACATCGGCAGCTATTTCTCACAGGGCAGGCTTGAGTGTTGTGCTTGTAGAGCATCTTGGATGATGTGAATCGGGCTTGGTTGCTGATGCTGCATCAGCTTCTAAATCAATTGAAGCAGGATGTGGCCTTGCCCAGGTGTTTGCAAATAGTGGGGCATCTTCGGAGAATGGAGGTGTTCACTGAACTGGAGCTTAAGTTGAAGTTTCTGCAAGCCAGAGGCCACTGGCTAGACCTCTGCTTGAAGTACATTCCTAAGGATGACGGTAAGTTCAGCTCGATATCGTGTCTCTGCCTTGATGTTGGCCTATTTTCAATTTCTTTGAAACAATTTTGCTCACACTGTGAAGGCTTTCACGGCCGGTCAAATCACATTTAGAAATGTTTTTCGGACTTTAAAGCCGAGGTCCATGGGAATTTCTTCCTGACGATTCGTCCACAACTGCGAAACTGGAAAGCCTTCGTCAGAAGAAAGCGCATCTCCTGAGTTCACTTGCTTTTTGCTGCGATGCCGTGAAACGAAGATCACTGCACTCCCACCCAGGCTCTACGGACTGCCCAAGATCCATGAATCGGATGTACCACTGACTCATTATGATATTGCAAAATATCTAACAAGAATTTTACAGCCCAAAATAGGAAAAAACTGACAGTTTTCTAAAGGACTCATCCTATTTTGTTGAGAGATTGCACTCGGTATCATTAGCTCCCGGAGAAATCCTTGTGAGTTTTGATGTTGTTTCGTTCACAATGGTGCCAATTAAGGAGACAATGGAACTTATTGAGAGAGAATTTCCACTAAACCACAGAACCAGTTTCTTCCAAATTATCCCAAAACTTACCTCTTCTTTTTCAGTAGATATTTTTTTTTCTCATTCATTAATCTCAGGCAAATAATCCCCTACCTTACCCAGGCTTACTCATAGGTCAGCACTAAAGACTAAAAGCCTTAACTGGCTAAGTCTAAAAAAAAACTTTCAACACATAGTTGAACCAGTCTTAGTCGGAAAGCACGGGAGATCACTTCGCGAACTACCTCATCGCCTTTGATAATGTTCACCGCAGTTGTGGACGAAACGTCAGGATGAAATTCCCGTGGACCACGGCTTCAAAGCCCGAAAAACATTTCTAAATGTAATTTTGCTCACCATCACGATTCGATTAGTGGTTATTTTCATACCAGTCGACCCCTTTCAGTCGATCATCATTTAACAAAGACAGTGGAACTAACTAGGATTAACTTGTTCAACATCATCACCCAGTATCGAGCAATTTTTAGCGACGGTGAATCGGTGCCGACCAGCTCGTTGAAAGGCGTCATCAACGAGAACATGATTTTTTTCACCTGGATCAACGCCAGGGTTCGTAGATTAAGAAATGGAAATATTTTTCGCTATCATATCGCTATTCTTCAGATCTCCGACTTCCTCGAGGTGCTAGAGGGGGACCTCAAGTCAGTGTCCTCAGTGGAGTCCTTGCTAGACCAGTGCATGTACTTCGGCCTGTCGTTTAGCAAAGTTGGATGCGATTTTCGGTCCTTGCTAATTCCGATATTCACTAAGCAAATAATGAAGAACTTCAGTGCGGCCATTGGCAGAGCTGTGGCCGCTTTTGAGAAGAGCATTGAGAACTTCACGCTGATCAACAAGAACTTGCCAAACATCCCCTGGAAGAACAAACACCAGGACCCGCTTCAACCGCCCGATAGTTTGCTGGAATTCTACCCTTTAGCCGAGTATTTAAACAACGTGCTGAAGACCCTGAATTCTTTTAGGAGCTGTGCCCCTGTCGCAATAGTAAGCGAAGTGGTGGAGTGTCTTCAGCGGTCGCTGCTGATAATCGCAAGGTCAATCGTAAATCTGTATTCCCAAGAACAACAAGCTTTTACCAGCAGCGCCAAGGGTGCGTTTACTAGACTGTGCATGAGTTTTTCCGATGAATTGGTGCCGTATGTGCAAAAGTGTGTCCACATCATTTACCCGCCCAATCAAATTGCTGGTCAGTTGGGGATCACTCTGCAAACGTTGCAAGATGAGCGCATTTCGTTTTTGAATAGAGAAGCCATTGTTGAGCCTATACGACACTTGTTGCCGTCTAAAATGAGCATTGAAGAAGTCACTGCAAGCAAATAAACCTAAGGTAACTCCAGCAATTATTTTAATTTCACAGTTCAACTTTAACAGTTTCAATGATTTGCTAATAGTAGTCATTGAAAAAATAGTCCTTTTTCAGTTTCTTGCGAGCTTAACGTCTGTTTGATTGATTACTGTAGAGGCATATAGGCTCTTGCAGTGCCTACAGGTACTATTCGTAGCAGCAGCCTATTCGATAGATTGGCCGCTCGCATCATGTGGCTCTATTTAAGGCTTTTCGTATAAGCGCCCAGTCTTCCATGATGTCTTGCGGCTTAAGCATATAGACTATATAGGGTCCGGATACAGTTACTGCCTTTTTCCGCGAAGTTCTTGACCTGGAGCTCCATTCGCCGCCTTCGCCCCATGTGATTTCACTGTTCTGTTTGTCCTCCTCCAGTCGTCTTATTGTCTCCATGAGTTCGCTATGATAGTAGTCTCTAGCCAGGCTCTTTTCGCTTTCCAGGTTCTGCATTGCAGCCTGCTTCTCGGCCTCGTATTGGTTGTGGATGTTCTCCAAGCGCAGTTGTCTTAAAATGCCTGCCACTTCTGTCCTGACTCGCCGCTGGTCCTCCAGATTCTGTAGAGGAATTGTGTAGTCCAGCGATTTACCCATCTTGACCTCGGACAGCTGAGTCTCCACCTGCTGGATTCGCTCACGATACAGCTGCTCCCTAAGTAGGCCAAACTGGCTTTCCAGGTCCTGGACGTGCTGGATCAGCTCGGTACGTCGAGATTCGCACTCGCCTTCATCCATGTCCGAGCTGTCCTCCGAGTCGGGCTCATCTTCAGAGGAGTCCCGGTTGGCCTCATTTTCCGGGCTGGAGTTCGACTGTTCCGATTCATTTGCAAATCCGTCATTGTCACTCATTTCTCCCGAACACGGGTTATCGCCGGCTGGTTTTATTAGGGCCATATCTAGCTGGCACCAATCATTGCAGATTTGGATGGCAGTTTGACAACAAACTGCCATCAAAAGTTTGTTGCGTTAGGTGTTGCACGCTTCCTCTTTCTCAGCGACAGCAAAAAAAACATTTTATAGCTGCTATATGTAGACTATTTTGATTAAGGTTTAGGCGATTGAATATTTTCTAAGAAATGGCTACATACCGTTAGATAGATTTAGATTATTGCCTTAAATGCGCCAAAAGACGACTTTTAGACAAGAAAAGAATGTTATGTTTCCTTGTCTATGTCTTGTTTTTTTGTCATTAACCGATCCATAATTAACTTGAAGAAGAGTGATTGTTATAACCCTGTTTCAAACGTCAATCTATGTGTAATGTTTAAAAACTGTTGCACGTTGCAGTATTATTGCATCAGCATAATCGACTAGTCAGTTACCTGTTGCTGTAAATAGTAGTAGCCCGCAGGCTGTTTAGATCTTTAAATTTTGTAAGTAATCTACTGTTTATTGTGATACCCCAGTGCGACATGTCCGCTAAAGAGGCACTTGAGCAGCAAGTCAAAGACCAGGCCGATATGGTTAGAAAGTTGAAGGCTGCTAAAGAAAGCAAGGAACGGGTAAGTGCTCAAGACATCCGGTTAACTAACTGGGGCCGGGAGCAAGACCGTCTTTGTAAATACTCTGGCGACTTTTAACTGCGGCTGTTGTTGACTATAGGACAAGGAGTGGGTTCCCTTTCAAGTACCACTAAGGGCGGAACTTTATCCCCATCTAAACAATTATCTCTCGGAGCGTAGTTACTTTAATGGCTACCAGCCCTCCTCAGTAGACAACTATTTGTTTGAGTGTCTGGGGGCACAAGAACCTCTAAACTTGCCCCATTTACACCGCTGGTACAGACACATTGGCAGCTACTCAGCGCAGGAACGAGGCAGCTTTCGTGCTTCTGATCCAGCTGAGCTGCAACATTTAAAACACTGTGTTCAATCGCAGGTAACTAATCGAAGGCTTTCTCTTTTTTTTTTGAAGTGTTAATTCCAATGGGGTTTTGCATCTTGCGCCGGTTTGTGCGGCATGCCCGAGTGATTTATCGGCCTTTTAGCACTCACCCTGCTTTATTTAGACCACAGGTCAGTGAATGCTTGTTATTCTTCACCCTTAGTGCGCCCAAGGTTTGCTTTTGGTCATTCGTTTCAGTTACAACGAAGGACCAGCTCTTGCGGTTAGAATTGCACACAATTTCAGTGAAAGTAGCAAATTAGTGTGACCACAAGATAACCTCTGGCTGATTGTGAGCAAATTGGGGGACTGACGTCGCCTTTTTGAATGTTTCCAAACTGTTCTACTAGTCATTTGTTTTCTAGCGCCTTTATGAAATGTGATAGAGAATCTCCAAGTTTAGCCAGCTCAGGGTTTGTTTTTGTTGATGTTTCAGATAGCAGAGGAAGTGAGCAAGCTTCTGGACCTAAAGGCTCAACTCGTTGCCGAAGATGGCACGGTTGCGCCCACAAATGTTAATCAGAAATTTACCCTGAAAACCGCCAAAGGAACGAGAGATTATTCGCCTGAGCAAATGGCCCTCAGACTGTCAGTGCTGAACAAGATTGTGGCGGTCTTCAAAAAGCATGGCGCAGTCACGATTGATACTCCAGTGTTTGAGCTGAAGGTCAGTGATATTTTCAACTAACTGATGATCGTACTGGTCGAATGTAGGTCAATGGGTATTTCCTACGTTCTACGTTGTTCGGTGCATGAACAATCAAAGCTGGCAGGAGAATGGGCTGGTTATCGAAACCGTTCACTCTTTCGCGCTGTTTGATGAGTTTTCGCAATTGAAAATGTCTTGAAACTCGGATTGCAGTCATTTGCAAGCACCTTAAATTCTCCATTCATTTTAGTATAGGGTTTAGCTTGCCAATGAAAAATACAAAAGCCAACCTTTTAAAGGGATTGACGAGAACGAACAGGTTCGAAACCGGTCTTTAAGGTGCTTCCGAATGCCCGATTGTGGTCTTTGTTTTGATCAAACAACTATGTTGCAACTGCTTATAGTCATTCAAAGCAAAACTACTAAATATTAGGTACCAGTTTATGGTAATTTTAACAGATACAAATTTAAAAAAATCAGTGGACGAATCATGAAATTAACAATATTGTATATATTTTCAGGAAGTGTTAACTGGCAAGTATGGGGAAGACTCGAAGCTGATCTACGATCTGAAGGATCAGGGCGGAGAAATCTTATCGCTGCGTTACGACTTGACGGTTCCATTCGCCCGATATCTGGCAATGAACAAGATCAGCAACATCAAACGTTACCACATAGCCAAAGTTTACCGAAGAGACAACCCTTCGATGTCCAGAGGCAGATACCGGGAATTCTACCAATGTGTAAGGTTTCAATATTTTTACTAAATGACTTGCATGTAAAAGTAACGCTGGGTCACAATTTTACACTCCTGCCAGAGTAAGTTTTGTTTGTTTTTTGACCTCTTAAAAATTGCTAGGATTTTGATATTGCGGGTGCTTTCGATCCAATGATTCCCGATGCTGAATGCATCAAAATCGTTGCCGAAATCCTGGACTCACTCAATGTGGCTTCGTACGTAGTGAAAGTGAATCACCGATTGCTGCTCGATGGGATGTTTGAGGCATGCGGCGTCCCTCTGGACAGCTTCCGCAGCATCTGCTCGGCTGTTGATAAACTAGATAAGGTAACTAACTGGCCGAGAGATGAATTGCCTGTTGGAATAATCGAGGATTTTCTTTGCAGGCTTCATGGCAGGACGTGAAGAAGGAAATGGTGGAAGAAAAAGGTCTTTCCGAAGCCGCAGCTGATCAGATAGGCGAGTATGTGAAGCTGAACGGAGGAAAAGAGCTGGTGGAGAAGCTGCTAAGCGACGACACGCTGTCGAAGAACAAGTCTGCTCTTGAAGGGTTGGAGGCAATCAAACTGCTGCTTGGATACTGCGAAATTTTCCACATTTCGGACAAAGTCTCCTTCGATCTGAGCTTGGCAAGAGGCTTGGACTATTACACTGGCGTTATCTATGAAGCAGTGCTGTTAGGGGGTGAGTAGTCTTAGTCTGGAGAGAAACATTTGAAAAACTATTAAGCGATTGATGTTCAGATGCCAGCAAAGGGGAGGAGGTATCAGTGGGATCGGTGGCTGGGGGCGGCCGATACGACAATCTAGTGGGCATGTTTGACGTGAAAAATAAGCAAGTTCCCTGTGTGGGAGTGTCACTCGGAGTAGAAAGGTTATTTGCCGTTCTGGAACAGAAAATCCACGCAGCAAACAGGAAGGTGCGCACCACCGAAGTGGACGCCTATGTGTGTACAGCGCAGAAAAACCTGGTTGAGGAGCGGCTAAAGCTTTGCAATCAGCTGTGGGAAGACGACTTTAAGGTAGGGATTTCGACATTTAAACTAGAACCAGTGAATGGAAACTGAGCATCTTCTTTCAGGTGGAGTACTCGTACAAAAAGAACCCAAAACTGCTCGCTCAACTGCAGTACTGTGAGGAGAACAGCATTCCTTTTGCCATCATCTTAGGCGAATCGGAAATCAAAAATGGAGTCGTGAAGCTACGAAATGTGCTAAGCAGAGAAGAGACCGAAGTGAAGCGCAGTGCTTTAGCCGACGAGCTGCGACGAAGACTCGGGGAGCTGAACCTAAACGGCACCGTACCAGCTTAGTATTCCAAAAGAATAATTTATTTTTATTTATTGCAAACGGTGTAAGTCTTGGGAGTGTCATGTGATTTTTTTCTATTTGTTTGCATGGACGCCATGAGACTTGGCCTGTCATGTAGAATGTAACTTCTAGTGAATATAAAGAGATTGGTCAGTTCACTTCAGCGTTTTATTTGGTTGATATTAGGGTTCTGTCGCACTAAATAAATTATTTTTGCGGTAAATCTTTCGTTAAAATTAACGCTATTTTCAACTCTCAATTCAAGAAAAATAACTCAATTTACCGTATCAAGAATTATTTGGCCGCAATAGATCTCTAATTAAAACACATATTAGGGAGCTCTTGCGCCCAATTAGTCTTACCGTAAATTACCGAAAAATGTACGTTATTTTTCTTGAAACGAGATGAAAAAAGTAACGTTGAATTTAACGGAAGGTTTACCGTAAGAAAAACTAATTGGGTGCGAGAGCTCCCTAATATGTACTTTAATTAGAGATCTATTGCGGCCAAATAATACATTACACAAAATATTAGGGATCCGTCGCACACAATTAATTCTTGCCACCAAAGAATCCATTCGACCACATCGATAGACCCAACCACCCTTGCGTGTGTTTAATGGGTGGCAAGTACTTCCAATTTATAAACGTATATATTAAAATAACATTTCCGTACACTTGCCTATATAAAAAACAAACTAAATTATCTTAAAACTATTACAATTCCTGACCTAGTAAAGATAGCTGTTGAAGGAACTGCTTGGCGTTGTTCAGGGTGGAGGCACCGTAAGTTATCCGCCTTAAGTTCCCTGCTGTAGTTTTCGCCTGAAAAATGCCCATAATTTTAGAGGTTGCTTAAAGCATAAAAATAAATGCTGAATATGCTCACCTTGGCATAATCGACCAAATTTTGGTACTCGATGTAGTTGCCGCCCCCCACAACAAAGACAATGGCGTCCTGAAAGGGCGACCGGCTTTTCGGCATCTCGGCCAGCTTCAGCTGCTTCGGATCCAGGTAATGGTACTCGTCCATCTCCTGGCTACTCTTAAAGTCCATCAGATTATCGACGATCTTCGTAACCGGCAAGTTCTGCACACGTTTAACGTCGGAAGATGCAAAAATGAATCCATTCACCAACTCACATGTCGTTTCACCACCAAATTCTTCACACCTTCCATCACGAAGTTTGAGCCCTGAGACATCAACTTGGAAAACATGTTCACGGTCTTGGTGCCCGCACCTTCGTATTGGTTCAGTGCAGCGCCGCTAGCCATTTTTGTAAAACTCCTGCAATGGATAGCTTGATACAAACATTTCAAAGCTTTTTGTCAGTCGCTTACTTCCATCTTTTGATATAGACCAAAGGCTTCAAGTCGCATCCGGCCTCCCCAAGCGCGTATTCAAACTTCTTCAAATCGGTATCCGATAAGTGTGCCGAACAGATGTAGTAGATGATAAACAGTCGCAACTTGTCCTCCAAGTCGCCCGCGTCGGGATCCGAAATGATGTCCAGAAGCGGCTTTTCTAGTTGCTGAGTTTTGCTCATTATCTTCTCTTCCAGTTCGAAGAATGTGTCCAGTTTCCTCGCTTTGATACTGTTCAGGATTGCTTCACACAAACGCAATAATAAAGATTCAAAATCCAGTAAAACAGGCGGAGAAAAGGAAAGTTACCTGTGGCTATCGAAGTGTGCATATCAATTAGTCTCTTTTTTTCCAGCAGCTGAGGCAGCGACTGAACAGCCGACGTGATTTTGGCGGTGTTGTCGGTCACCAACGCTACGGCCAGTTCGCTTTCATTGTCGATTCCCATGGAGGTCTTCAGCTTCTTTACTTCTTCCTCAGAGGAACGGTACTGCTCCAGCTCCTCCTGAATGGCCTCCGCCACATTGGGGAACGGCGATCCCTTATGACTAGTCCAAAATTTATCTTTGGAATCCAGCTCGCATGCCTTGTGCTTGGCTCTGGCGCCTTGAAGAGAATTTACAAAATCTTACTCGATCATGGATTAAATTCAAACATACAATAGCAATTTACGATAACGACGGACCCCAATTAAATGGAGAAAAAATCCAACACCGTTAAAAAGTAGCCGATTTTGTAATTGCTCTGTTCTATTAACAGTTTAATTCGCCTATTCCCATCACTACTACTCACCTCCTTTTGGTGTGCTGTCCTCAATCACTACCCTATTCAGTGCCAAGTTCAATAAATCGTGGGCTAAAGCCTGATAAGTCCAGGTGTGATGCAAAGGGGTGGCCATATCCACATTCCTATCCAGAATAATCAGCAAAGGCCTATGGAAGTTAAAGTTGCCCGCCTGCGTATCGGCGGAAAACAGATTATTCCTTGCATCAAATAGATTTTCCCGCAGCTTCTTGTCCAGCTTTCGAGCCACCAGTTCCGCAGCATTTCCTTTGGGGCTGCGAATGATCGGCACTGTGCCTAGAAAGACCTAAAGCTATTGAAAATGGCCACGAGTACATCAGCCACGCCATTTACCCGCCGTTACAAATACTGAAAACAAACTGTCCACTATGTTGTTCATTATCTCATCCATTTCCGTGTCTTTAATGTCGCCTTTGTTTATAGCTGAAAAGCAACAGGATTAAAAAGAAAACCCTCTCAGATCGCACATTTTTACCATAATAAGACAAGGCGTCGCTGTTTTGGTGCCTCAACACGAACATGTCATCCTCCAAAGACAGGAAATTTACATATTGATCATATATCTGCAAGAAGAGGTCAAAATTGATCAGTGATTAAATATGCAGATCGTTTCCCGATCAGACCAGCAGAAACGAATGTCTACTATGTCTACTACCTTGTGAATGTTGGCAACGCAATTTGCCTCAATGGAAGCCGAACCCAAGTCCTCGAGCTTCTGTCTGGAAATAGGGGAGATGAAGTTCAAGTGATAGACATCATAAATGCCCCTTTGAAAGTCCTGCTTTATCCTTCCCAAGTTCTCCTCTGTAGGGGAGCAAAAGTACACCACCGGCACCTCAGGAATCGGGTCTCGGTCCGAGTGCAGCTGTCTACAAAGCAAACCGACTGAAATTGCCCCCATTTTCAACCCTGTGGCGAGTCCTACACAAATAATGTTACTCCTTGTTCGCGCAGCTCTTTGACGGAGATTAAGGGTGAAATTATGTCCTGCCCAGTCCGGTCGTAAACCAGAATCTTCCAGGAAGGTTCGGAAGTAGCCTGCTTGCTGAAGGGCTGGTTGAGGTTTAACATTTGCCTTATGGCATCTGAAACAGAAATCAGTTCCTATTCCAACCATAACCAAGAAAACTTTAGACTGTGGGAGTAAACTTGCCTTTCTGCCTTTGCCGCAGCGAAGTCATTGTTGGGCTCGGCTGTTTAAATCGATGGTTAACTTTTAATTTATATCACAAATTGCAATAAACAAGTTTAAACTTATTGACGTGCCACTTCACAACACATATGTTGACGTTCCAACCATAGAGGTTACTCTGTAATCTGTGGTTCCAACCCAATACCCTTGAAGTTAGATGGATGAGCTTAAGAAGAATAGTGCACCATCTATAGGTCAAAGAATAATATTCTATTAATATGCTATAAAAACTGGGACAAGGCTACGTTGGATAAATTTATTTAAAAATCTCGGTATAATTTCGCATACTATTATAATATATTGCTTTTTCTTTTTATGCTACAGAAATTATCGTAAATGGCATTTACTCAAACAAAATGAAAACCATGAATGGAAAATTTTAAAGAATGTTCGATTGAACCAAAGAATAAATTTATATCAAGAACGGTCACTAATGTGAAAATCACCAATCCAATGCCCGCTCACGCAAAAATTGTCATTTCTTAAATTGATTTTCGTATAACGTAGTACATACCTGACTTCAAACTTTAAAGAAAAAGAAACATACCACAATTTTGTTTGCTTCAAATAGACTGTGGTTTAATGCACCAACTACCCAAATATTAGGACAAGGGACAAATACTGGAAAAATATCACAAAAAATATCTTACAAGGCTCCAAGCCTAACGCAGCTTTCTATGATTTACTTTAACTCTTTAAATACAAAAAAAAAAACAAAAATCTACACAAGTGTCTTTGGAGTCTTAGGTAGTTGGTTTCTTTTTGCCAAAGGGGTTCATCTTCTGAAGCCAGGTGTTTCCGAGGCCACTTTCACTGAAAAAAAAACAACAGATTTAAAGCTCCAGCTTTATGCTCATTCATAAGACACCACAGTAAAAAAATACCTGGACTTCAGCGACTGCCCCATTGCTTCCTCTATATTAGCTGCTCTAAGTTTGTCGATCAGCTGCGCCCTGTACACGTGCTTTAAAGGCACTATAGTTACTTGTTCTTCCATCTGCCTCTCCATGCGGCGACAGGCTTGTGTGAACGAGTAACCGTACCAATCGATTTCTTCGGATGTGTACTGAAACCATCATTAGATGCCTTTAATACAACTTAAAACTACCTATAAACATGTGGGCAAACCGGCGCAAGATAAGGGAAAGAAACAAAGAAAGCTATTACTCTTGCGAGTCAGTTTATTCCAGCGGGACTCTGGTTTTCAATGCAGCAACTAATTTTAATTTAAGTTTGCCATATAAACATACATGCCATCGGGAAACGTTTTTGCGCATTGCCTCTTTAGAGTCGACAAATCTTAACAGAAGGAACTGCCTTATCGTGTACAAGAAAGTATCCGGAAGTATGGTATACATATGTCGAAAAGCGCGCGAGTCGCTAGTGAACCGCGACTTGCAATAAGGAATCAAAGCAGCATTCATTTCGCAACAATCGAAGCGCTGTAGTTAATAAAGCTCTTTGCAACGAAATCAAAGTCCAAATAAACCCTCTAGGCATCACATAGTTATACTCACAGCGTCCAAGTATTTTCTGTATTTTTCCAAAATTTCCTTCTGCTGATCAGGCTTGCTATTCAACGATGGACACCCATTTTCCAGTTCTTGGAGAATTTTCCGTTTCAGCCCCAAAGGCAGCAGAGAATGTAGGTCGCAGGCAGGCGTCTGAAATTAAAGAAAACATCTAGAAATAAATAAATGTTTGCAAAAAGGTTCAATATCGAGGAATGTGCACTTAATGTTGCAGCCTAGTTTTGAGATGGCAACTAACAACGAACGATAATACAATAGGTATACAAAGTCGAACATTACGGCTAACTGGAGTGTAATTTTTAAATTATGTATTTTTTATGCGATAATGGCATTATACAAAGTTTTTCCAAGAATTCGTGACATATCAAACTTAGGTTTTTTTTTTAATTTAATCGGTTTAACAGGCGATTCTTTTATATACTCTACTCAGACAGTTCTTATACTTTAATCCACGCGATGCGAGCAAGTTTTGAAAAAAGGTTTCCTTGAAACGACGTGGGAAACTCGACCACGCATTGCCAAGATCACGGGCAAAACCGTTAATGCTTTGCATCAACCTTGAGTTAACAATTTTATCTATATGAGGCGATTAAAAAAGACCGATTAACTTATCACGCAAGCTTTGAATGATTGTTGTCGCAAAAATAAAAGTATTAAAACATAACAATAACTCACGCAAGACGTATATGGAGCATGTTTGGAATTAAATGTGGCAGGACCGACATGTTATTGAACATTTCGATGATATTCAAATAAAACATACTAAATAGAAGCTATTTTTAGCAAAACATATGCAGTCAGTAATCGAAAACATCTCTCCGCAAAATATAAGGAAACGGCGTAGATCAGTTACTATGCCAAGATCAGCCACTTACCTTTAGTAAGTAGTGATCAAAACCATAATTGGCATTGATAAGGCTAATGGTGCGCTCGGTGACAATGACCGAAAAGTACTTGTCCAGCACCTCGCTGTGTACGACGGATCGTTTCAGGACAGGCACCCAAAAATGGGGTACACGTCTAGAATACCTATCTTTTATCTGAAATCCCTGCACCACAGCCTCCCCGCCCCACATATGCTTGTGGTATTCCCTGGGATACACCAGGGGCAGTTTTACGTTCTGGACTGGGCTCCTAAAAGGACCTTCTATCGTTAAAAAATTCGCCGCTTTAAACCCATCGATCTTACACTTCGCCGGTAATGTCGTCCCTTTTCCATTTGCCCACCTCGGGAACATAATGTACCGCTGAAGGCTCTGTGAGCTTCCACTCTTTGTAAAATTTACGGTAGGCCTCTGGCAGAAGAGCTCCTACGCCTTTATCAAAAATGGTTGGTTTTTGAAAGATCCCCAAGTTCTTCACAGACTGAAACAAAAATCTGGATCAGTCGATTCATGACTTGCAAATTTTCACCCAATTGAATGATTTAAAAACATTGTAAGAGGATTTTTCAATCAGCCAGTCATTCGCATCACCTGAACATTCGGGGCCGATTTATAATTTGGCTCACAATCGAACTAGAATTATGAACAATCAACGTGTCCCTCACCTGGACTGTTTTAGAAGCCATTTTGCATGTTGTGTTTAGGAATTAAGGGACTCTCAAGAAAAGCCTGCGACTTAAAATTCCATAACCTAAAATAAACTATCAATAATTTTATAATCTGTGAATAAACTGAAAACCAAGGCGCTTATTTTCATGCGTGTACGCGTGCGCCCCCGGAAAATTTTTGTATTGATAATTGCCTAAAATCGGTAAAAGCAAATTCACCAGGCGAGTGACAATTCACATGTGTGAGAATCTTACTATCATGCGCAAACACAGAAGTGACTGAATCAAGAGTTTGATAATCTGTGATGCAGAAATAGATTAGAAATATCGCTTGTGAATATCGAATTTGCTTCTCACCGATTTTAGGCAATCAGCAATACAAACATACATACCGGGAGCTCTCACGTAAAAGCATGAAAATAAACGCCCAGGGGACTCTCATGTAATGACAGCACAGCTTATTTATGATATTATGATATTTAAGCTGTGATGACAGTTCTGAGTTTTTATTTTTTGCTCACGCCGTGAGGGGTCTACTCTTTTCGTCAGAGCTACCGCGCTACCCTTTGAATATAAAACTAACTTAGTTTTATATTCAAAGGCGCTATCACTAAGTCCGATTTTCACCAAAAACGAAACTAAGTTTATGTTAAACGCCGAAATTAAACTGGTTTAACGACAAGCCGTTTTTACCAGCGCTTCGGTACGTTTCATAAACTGCGTTTAGTGAAAACGCTGTATTCATTGTAGTTGGGTTTATTGCTGGTTTCCCGTTGATAGATTTTCAATAATAATATTTGGTTTTGAAACTCTTTCCACCGAAGAAGGGGAGAATAGAGAACTTTCCAATATCGAAAAATCGTTGGCATTTTCAGAAAAAATGTCGCGGAGAAAAAGTGTTATTCAGGGGATAATCTACAACGGAAGTCACTTTTTATTATCGAAATTCCAGAGAGCTCAACACTAGATCAATATTTATTATTTTTTTGAATTAAACGGTTTTTGTGCATATTATCAATAAGGACTGTTCGTTCGAGTGTTAAGTATTTTTTGCTCAATAATTTAATAATAATTAACTAGTCAAATTTTCCACAGTAGACTGTTTTATTATGTAACATAGGGGTATTCTGCTGCAAACACACCTTCAATTATTAGTCTTTTGCTGCTGTGAATTACACTTCATCGACGCAACGACTGAAGCAATACACAATTGAACACTTCGACAAAACAACTTTCAACGGACACAACTTCAATTATTAGTGTTTTTCGGCTGCTCATTTCATTCGAAATTGAACGCTTCTTGAACTCTAAGTAGGGACTGCTTAGATTTGCAATCTTCAATCTTTTTTTGCTCAGTTTTTCAACTTTAAATGGTCCGGTTTTCCACAGTAGCATCTTTTTCAGTAGTTAGGGGTGTTCTGCTGCGAACACATCTTCAATTACGACCTTGTATCGAAAACTACCATTTTGCGGAAGACATGTATAAAAATAAATCAGAAATTACTTTTTCGGAGCAAAAATTGCCGACGAACAAACCTTGGTCTTGGTCATTACTGGTTTTCAAAAAGCGGTAGGAAATATAGACAAACCCGGTGTATATTTTATAAGTAAAGTATTTCAGTGCTTATTCTAACACAGATCTTAAATGGATATAAGTGTGGATGCTCTTGCTAATAAGGCAAAAAGGCACTTTATATTTTAAGGTCAATATGAAGAATTTAGTGGAGGTCAGCCCTTGATGATATTTCAGGTTTTAAAAGCATCTCACTTAGATTTCAAAGCCGCTTTCTTTAAACCGGTTGACCAAAAAACGCTCAACCAATAAGCTGATTGTAGTTTATTACGAAGACCTTTGTATTTGCCTGATTTACCCAAGATCCACCCCTAGAGCAGCATTCTTGGCTGCGGCTACTATGGTGGATTTGGAGCAAGATAGGCAAGTTGTAAAACCCGTAAAAAGCAAATCTTTATATATAGATATTAAATGCGCTGCAAATAGAGTGGGAAGTCTAGTGAGTAGTCTGCACCACTCTTCTTTATTTTTCGACTCTACTCGTCTTTATCTACGATCTGCACAGATCACAGATATCCGTGATCTGTGGTAGTCAGCGCCAAAAGTGTTCGTTAAGCAATGGGTTTAAACACGAAACTGTGAATTTTGGTAGGTCCTGGAAAAATGAAAACAACCATTATAAAACTATCTTCTTTCAAGTATAAGAATCTGAAGTTATATTTTACATTTTACATATCCCTATCTACGACTTATTACAGTAAAAAATGACTTTACTTTTATGTACATTCTAGATAGATATAAGTCTTTTAACAATAGGAAGTAATCTTTGTTCAAGGGTAAAAAAATATTACACAGTAAAATATGGCAAGAAAACACGTCCTTGATGCAAGGATGTCTTGGTAAGGGTTTGCATTTACATTTTGCACGATAATTTTTTAAAAACAGTCTTTCGGGATTGGCGTTGCGCAGTTGCGACCTCGAACTGGCACGACAACTAGCATGTCGCCGTGAGACCAGCCTGTTGGCACAGAGTTCGAACTAGTTCGAAATTTATGAACTAGCTCTATATATGGAACAATTTTGGAAAACCTGTTCTTTGAGGAAAGTTGTACCTGCGGAAACACAATTTTCCAAGAGAATAGTTTGCTCTCCAGACTTGTCTATCCAAACGGAAACATACTGGTTCGGATCCAAGTCGCCCAGAGAGCGTGAAAAATATGGCACCAGGGCCTAAACTTGACGGCACAATCAGACTATTAGGCACAAAAATACGGCACAAAATCTCACACATACTCCTCACTCGGCTTATTGTTATTAGTCAGTCTTAGCGAGTTGGGCACTCGACTGTTCATCGTGTCGGGTAGCTCGGCAATGTCTTTGAAAACTCCCGCTAGACTTTCGAAATTTGGGCCCCAATTTAGTAGGTAGTCCCATCCCAAGGCCGTACTGGGCGGGCTTCCAGTTCCCGCTCTATAGAGGGGCCCTCCTAGCTCGTCATCCGACGCAACCAATGTACTCATTGAACCCCTGACATACACAGAAAAAATAAATGCTGCACAAGAACCAGAAAGCTACTACTCACCGATACGAGGAGTCAAACCCATCACAGGATGGAGGCGGAATGTTACTTTTACTACCACACCCCGACTGTTTCTCATTAGGCTTATATTTGTCGTCACCCGGCAGACTCGCATTGTCGTATTCAATCTCCGAGCAGGTGAACGAGTCATTTCCGCTCTCATCCGTACTAGTCGAGCTGTTATGCGTCTCCGCCACTGGACTGTGACGCATATGGTTACTCTAAAAAATCATCAGAATCAGAAGTGACACCTTTTGCTTCACGTTTATTTACCAAATGATTGCTCCCTCCCACTCGTGGAACCTCGCTACTAATGGAAACGGCCTCCAACGTGGAAATTAAGCTGGAATTTCGAGCTCTTTGGTTCAGTCTCTCGATTTCTTCCGCGGTCAGTCCCATGGCAGGCGACGTTGAAGAAACAGGCGGTGGCGCAGCAGTTTTCCTTCACAAGCGAACAAACGGTCACGGAAAAGAGGCGAGAAACCCATGATAATTTAAAGAAGGTTGCTCATTTGAATATGAGATGGTTCATATCGTAACTATACCTGCTGCTACTCCGTCCGCTTAACTGGGACATAACCGGACTATTAAGGCTGCGTTCGCTGTTGCTATGCAACGCGTCCTTGCCCACACCCCCACTACTCGATGTAGTAGCCAATAGGGCGCTTTGCAACGGTTTCCCGCTGATGTCGTGCAGGGTGAGGATGCGCGGCTGCTGCGCCGACATTTCGCTGCTGGGGCTGAGTCGAGCCAGGGGAGTGGACTGGTGGCCGCGAGCTGTAGGCGTGGCTACAGGCGGGGCACGCGGCACAAATCTATATACGAAACTATTTATTGAAAATTTTGACATGTTTGAATTAGTTGAACTAAACTCACCCGCTTGGATGGTGGGGCGAATGCCGGTGTTGCGCCTGCGTGTTTGCCGGACCGTGCTTGTGATGGTACCCCGTCGGCGTAGCCTTGAACTTCCGCACTCCGCCACCCTCCCGGAATCCTTTGTAGTGGTACACAATGTCGATGTCAGAGGGCGCGATACTACTGGCGTTCTCAAGGTCGTAGTGTTCGGGCATGTCCCCGCCCATATCGTTGGAGGCGTGATCGTGCCCGTGATTGGCCGAAGGCGGAAGGGGCGGGTGCAAGTCGTCTCTCATTGGCGGAGATTTAGTGACGACTTCTCGTTCAATTATGTCCGGCCGCTGGGGCCGTGGCAGATCATTGCCCTGGTGAATGTCGCGCTCTTTGAACTTCTTCGGCAGCAGCTCCGGCCCACGAATCACGTCACAGCCGATGCCACGAATCACATCGCCGTCTGTGTGATAAGTCATTGAGCTGTCCATTGAGTGCAGATTTCTCGATAGGACACCGTCATTTGCTGCTGAGATAAGAAAATCCATTAGACCATATTTTGATGGAAAACTGTAAAAAAACTTGCCAACTGTTCCAAGGCTGTGGCCGCCATTCTGCTTTGAGTGAATGTTATTGGAGCTATTGGGGCTTCCTGTTTTCTCTTTGTACTGCTTGCGCAGCCTGAACACAACAAATGAGACCAGAATGGCCACCAAAAGCACCACGAAAAACACAATCACCAAGGTGATTCCGATGCTTAACGGATCCTGAATGGCTGCATTGCCCGCCCCTAAAAACAAAAATGTACGTAATGATAAAACACTGACAAATAGAGCGACTGATTTACCAAGAATTCCGTTACACCCTGCCACAACGTCGCCTTTTTGTATTATTTCGGAAAACACACTGCCCGATCCGTCGAAAGGTTGAATCTCGCGATTGATGGTAAAGTTGGAAAGACAGCCATGGAAAAACTGCGGAAAACTTGCGTTCACGTAGTAGAAAGCGCGCTGAGCGCCTCCCAGTGACAAGTACGTCAAATAGGGGTCGAGGAAGTCATGAACTCCAGCCGAATCCAGTTCTTCACCCAACCGATTACCTGAAAGAAATCAAAAACTATTTTGATGAAACTAAAGCTATTTGCAAAAATTACCATCGAAGATCACTTGAAGGCTGCGCAGCCTGATGTGGAGCGTCAAATTGTGCCACGCACCGTCGTTCACATAGCGATCGTTATCTGTCATGTTGACAATGGATGACGTTTTGCTGATGTAGAGTAGCCGACCTTTAACGATTTCCACCGAAGTGAAGTGCCGGTTAGAGGTGGCATAGAGCAGCAAGCCACTGTCCTTGACAGTTTTGAAAAGAAAACTGAGCGTTTTGTCGGGCGTGAGTGCTGATGACCTGGCACTGCGGTCTGAAGGGTCGCTAACACTTGACGACGCTCTGTGGACCAAATAGTTTTAGGTAAAACCAAAATATGTTGTAGGTAGTTTATTTCAACCTTCTAGCTCTTTGGTGGGACCACAGGGTGCTGCCCATGTACATGTTCTCCAGCAGCTGCATCCGTTTGTGCTTTTTCGTTATGGGAAGTTCCACAAAACTGCCATCTCGCAGGCTGATGGATTCCAAAGCGCTTTGACAGTTGGGGACTAGAAGGTCCGTCCCGCAAGTACATACAGAGTGAGTCCAACGGTCGATGCATTGCCCAAAACCTGCCTCATACAGTCGAGTAGAGTAATGTCACTCGAAGTGGCCTTAATGCTGTTACCTGCGCAGCTGTCGATAGCTGCTGGGCTTTTTGCGCAGTTCAAGCTGCGCACACATTTGTTGACGACCCCTTCCGCCTGCAAGGGACGGCTTAGGTTCAAGGCGCGCCCATTGATCGACACGCCTTGAAGACAACCGACAAAATCGTCACTGCGCACTTGCCCTGGGCGCTCCAAGACCGGATCGGGGCTGTTAAGCCCACCAATCAAAAGCGGTTGGTTGTTGAAGTTCAGGGTGCTGGAGAGACCGCGTCATTTTAAAAAAGTTCGACTTTTTATGCGTCTATTTCACTTACCCAGTATCTCCGCTGTTTTCCGTGTAACACCCGCCATCACCAGGCCGACAGTCCTCGCATAAATCCCCATTTTCCCCACAACTTCCCACGTTCAGCGACACCACTTTTCCATTGCGGGTGGCTGTAATTCGATGCCAGTTTCCATCGGCCAAGGCACGACCATTACGACCGGTGGCAGTTATGGAGATGATAGCGCTACGGGCTCCGCCAAAACTAAAAACCGCACGCCCCTGCACTAGTTCGAGGGCAACAAAGTCGCTCCTTCCCATAGTTTGAAGCCCGAAATTGTACAAGAGAAGTGAATCCGGCTTGGTGGTGGCAAAAGTGATGGTGATGTCGTTAGTGACGGCATCCAGCGTGGGGAAAGCCATGAACGAAAGATCACCGAATCCCCAGGTGGACTTTTCACAGTGGCGTCCGTAACGCCCATCCGTGCAACTGCAGTTGTAGCCTGGCATGAGGTTTTGGCAAAGGCCCCCGTGTAGGCAGGGGTTTGGTCTGCATGAGTCCGAAAGGGTCTCGCATTGGTTGCCGCGATAGCCGGATCTGCAATAACGGTATTTATAAGGTTTGCTTTCTTGGCTACCGTTTCCTGATATTTTGTTGTGGATGCTACCGAGCCCGAAAATGTTCACATACTGTGATCCATTGTTGCTTTGACAAAACGTAAACAAATGCATCTGTTTAATCTAAAATAAAACCCAACCAAAGTAACCCACCTGCACAAACAGAAGAAGCTGGATCCATCCGGGCCCTCTTTGCAAGTGCCGCCGTTTTGACAGGGGTTCTCCGAACACGCGTCCTCCTTGTTTAACTCACATTGCTTGCCATCCTTATTGTGGGGGCACAAACATTGATAGTCAAACCCTTGCCGACGACACTGCGCGTTGTTCTTGCAGGGGTTGGGCAAGCAGGGGTCTTGACGTTGGGCGCAAGTGGCTCCTGCGTAACCGTCTGCGCATCGACAAGCGGACTCGTGCTGAAGCAACGGCGCAGTAAATATCAGCGCCGGAGTATCCACGGTCTTGGTAGCGCGCTTGGCAATCAGTGATTCAGTGCAAATGCCCCCTATAAGAAAACTGTTAACAAAACGGGCATAATCTCACTAAATAACTGACCATTATCGCAGGTGTTGTCGTCGCAGGCGGAGTATCCAATTACAAAGTCCTCGCTTCGGAACAGGCCTATCAAATCCTCGCGCTTTTTCAGCAACTTTTCCTTGGTGTATAACTGGCTTTTGTAGTTGGCGCGACTTTTTACCGCCATGCTCAGCACCAGGCCCGACTCGCCGTCGTGCAGACTGAAAAGATCAAGCGTTTCCTCCCGCCCCAAGCCGGACTTCACAGAATCCATAAATGCCGCATAGCGATTGGCCAGGAACGTGACGGCTGTCATGTTTCGGACCAATAAAGCTACCGAGTTATCGATGGTTGCGTTGTCAAACTGACTGATCTCCATCTGCAAAGAGTGATGTGCGACAGATGAAAACCGCCATTCCAAAATTCCAACTGCACTTACTGTAACTGTCGATATGACCGCTTGGTGTTTCCCGTCGTGTCCAGATACAGTCAATGAGTAGCCCCTAGAAGTGGAAGTAGCTTGCGCGTCTACTAACTCGAGATCGCAGCCATGCAGAATGCGCAGCACTTCAGGCGAGGCTGGTTTTTGCAATATTTTGCACTTGTAGTCGCCGGTAATATCCGGATCGTTGGGTTGCACTTTTGCGACAACCCCGCTTGGGAACAAGCCTCTAAAGGTGCGCACCACCAGATGCACCGACCTCGGAGTGGACTCCGAGTCGTTTTCATCCAAAACGACAATCTTGACCGGATGTTGACTCCTCTTTGACGGGGTGCCGCTGTCCTCTACTTCCACCACTAGGTGCAGCTCTGGAGTTACCTATGGGCATATCCGAAATTGCAATGCGATCCAACTGAAGCTCCAAACTCACTTCTCTGTCGATTTTCCGAGTGGTGATGATCGATCCGCTGCGCTTGTCGATTTGCACAAAGTCCCGCTCCTTGCCCCCCACTAACGTGTAGGTGAATGGAGCCCCGTTGGGAGGCAGGTCAGGATCTTTGGCGCTCAGCACCATTACTTTCGTGCGAGGAGGCTCGTTTTCCATTACTCTCCCTACCACCTGCCAGAACAATACAATTTTCCAAATTGGATGGAGGAGAGAGTGCTGACACTGACCTGAGGCGGGTCGAATATTGGGCCATTGTCGTTCACGTCCAGCACCTCGATCTGGACGGTTGCAGTGCCGGTTTGCGGCGGAAATCCAGTATCAATCGCGCCTACAGTCAGTGAATATCCAGAAATAGTCTCTCGATCCAGAGCGCGTGCCGTCTGGATATCACCCGATTGGGGGTCGATTTTGAAGGCTTGGTCCACGTTGCCGCCCATTATTGAGTAACTGAACTGGTTGTTTTGGTAGCGCACGTCTTTGTCCACTGCCTTGACGCTGCTCACCTTGGTACCTGTTGAAGAACGCGGAAATTAGTACCAGATGAAGAAATATTTGCTACTCACCAATGGGCGCCGCTTCCGAAACCTCTGCCCGATAGATAAGTTGAAGAAATTCGGGAGGGTCGTTGCCGTCCTGCACAGTGACAATGACCTGCGCCTCATCGGTGTCATTTCCCCGGATTCCGCCAGCGTTCTTTGCCATCACCGTTAAAATGACGCGATTCTGCGTCTCTCGGTCCAGATTTCGAGACACACTTATTGCGCCCGACTCGCCATTGATGATAAACCCTCGATCATTGCTAGAACCTGAAGCAAAAGTACTAATTAGTAGGGGTGGTCGCTATTTAATGTAACCGCTAAAATAACTGTGTTCCAAACGTGTAACCTGAAACCGTAGTTACAGCTAGCCGATTTAACCGGTTTTTTTTTGAACCGTCTGACAAAACCGAACCAGTGCTTGTGCTTACTTCGCACCAGCTGTTGTAAAGTTGACATAATTTTTTAAATTATTTTTTGGTGGTAGCAAAATCAACTCGAGTAATATTTCGTCCAGGTTTGCCAAACACGCATTTCTGCTTGTTGTTATTGTGGATTATTTAATGTTATTGTGAAACGAAATGCGAGAGATTATTTTCTAAATAATCAATAGTCATAAACGAGCGAAGAACTAGAATCAGTAAAAAGCATCAGCAAAAAATTTAATTCTTAAATGTTAATTCATTTTTAAATGAAAATGAGATTTTTAAACAATTTCGCATATAAACCGTTTATTTTATTTAATCACTCTAGTTTATTATCAGTTTCTTTGTGCCTTAAGTGGTTACTTATGACCCATGTTTTGTTTTTGATTTTAGAATATTTTATTTTAAGTTTACCAATGTTAGGAACTATGTTTTTAATCAAGGCAATCATTATATACCATCACTATTTCTACTATCATTATCATTCTGCATTTTTAATGAAAAATTTAGAAAGCAACATGTTCCTTTTGGAACCGCACTTTGAAACCTATTACCAAGGTGGAACGTTGTAACTGTGTTACAGAAAAATAACCGTTTATCACTCAGTCCGCTCACTGCTGACAAATCTCGCTATTTTATATATGAATCAGCCCTGTGCTGTATCACTCACGTTAACTTTAACGTGCATGTTATCCGTCAAACACGTTATGTGGCTCCAACTGGTGTGTTGTATCAGTAAAACCTTTATATTATAACAGGCGCACGCTATCGACGAACGTTATATTAAGAAATAGCGCTTCAGAATAACAGCATCAAATCACATGCCGCTTTCGAAATTAAGGTGCATCCCTCGAAGTTAACTTCGAGGAATAAATAAAACAATTGTGTTTAATCAGAGCGTAGTTTTGTCTTTTAGCTATAATTTGTTTTTAATTTAAAAGAAAAATATCTCTTTTGGTGGTCTTATAAGGTTAGCTTTATTAAAACAATTGGAAAATGGTCTTGAAAATAAACTTTATTTTCCTCCACAAACTCTACTAAATTTTCAAATTGTTTGCGGGTTGTTTTT